CATAGTTTCTGCAGTGGAGTTGATTGGAAAGTTTTGTGAGACAAAGGTTCTCTTATGAAGGGGGGAGGAGGAGGAGACGGGTGTCTGAGGAATGAAGGTAAAGGTAGGTGAAGGTGAGTGTGCAATAGGGGAAAAAGGGGTGGAGCGTTTAGTCTGTCTGCTGCGGGTAGTACGGGGAGGGAGAGGGGATGGTGTTGGGGCTGTAGTTGAGATTGGAATGTCATGGTTTAGGGTAGCAAAAGAATTTGACTGGGGGAGGAAGTAAGTAGGTATAGGGGAGGGTGTAGGAACATATTGGGGTGGAGGGGGAGGGGCAGAGCGAGCGACATCACTAGAGTAGGGAGTATGAGAGAAACCTTGTCGGCGTGCTTCCTGTCTGGCTTCAAGTAGAGTGAGACCATCCTTGTATCTGAGAGCTGCTACCTCAGCCTCGAACTTATAAGTGGGACAGTCTATAAAATACATTATGGGTACCGCCGCAGTTAGCACATGTACGTGTTTGTGCAGAGCAGTTTGATCGGTTATGACCGGGTTGGGTATATAGGGGGTATCGGTCTGTGGAACGGCAGTGTTTGACAGGATGTCCAAATCGCCAACAGTTTTGATATTGACAGAGAGGAGGTTGGTATTGTCGAACAGGGAGGGATTGTCCACCAAAGTCGATACGAACGGGAAGGTCATGTGTAGTGAAAGTAATTTTGGCAATGTTTTTTTTTATGATCTCTTGGAGGAATGGCGTAGCAATGTATTGATTTCACGTCTTGGTCTTTGAGGCATTTGAGTAAGTCTTCTCCACAGTCTGACCAATCTTTGGTATCGACTGGGCAGTTTACCGGGGAGAGAGACAGTTCTGGTACAAGTATTAAGAGTTGGATGAGGTTCTGCAGGATTTGGGTTGCCAGAGTGATCATTTAGATTTGATAATGCTATAGCTTGTTTCAGATCTGACTGTTACGAGACGGGAGCGATCGCGTCTGGTATGGAAAGGGACTCTGCCCACTTGTTTTTGGAGGCATTGTTGAAAGAGGAGAGTGTCGCCTGAGTAAGGAGCTGTAGGGGGGTTCACGAAAAATTGGTCCCAATTAGCTGGGCTAAATAGAGTATTTAAGATATTTGTAGGGTTGGTGGTGGTAGAAGGACGGGGGCGTGTGGAAGCGGGAGTGTTGTTGAGGGGGGTAGTATTACGGAGAGATGGAGAATAAGGCTGTGAGATAGTAATAAGGGAGGTTGGGGTGTTTGATGAAGAAGGTTGTAGGGAATAGGAATAACTGAATAGGAATGTCTTCAGGAGATTGAGTCTTGGCTTGGTGGGTAATGCACTAGTAGGCATTGAGGAGTGGGTAGTAGTTTCAGTGTTCAGAGTCGTAGTCAAAGAAGAGCCTGGGGTCTGGGAGCCGGTAATCTGAATTGGTGAGGCTATTTGATGAAGTAAGTAATAATAACAAGAAAATAAATGTGCTAGACATCAAAGGTCATATAGCACTATGATTTTGTATTGTGTTGGGTGGGTTTTTAAAGTTCTTTATTAAAGAAAATTTAACGTTTTTAACTGTCATTTATTGTATGGACGTCTTCTGTAGCGTCCTTGACTTTTAATACCGTATTTAGTTTAATCCTAATCCACCGTGTCCGTACCGAAGACGACACTCTCCGCTGCAAGACGGCGCGACAATGTTCAGTAAAAACAGTTGTACTCACTATTCTATCACCACCGTTATCATGTAAACATGTCGGAGAGAAGAGAAATGTCGCGCGTGAAATTTGCTCTTTTGGGAGATTTCATGTTTTTCTTTTCTTTCTTTCTTTTTGTAATGTCATGTTTTTGGTAATCATATTTAAGAAACTATTTTAGACACCTCTCAGGTTTCAAAATATCTATTATGTTTAATGTGTATTTCATGAAACTGAGACTCTTACTAATGTTTTCATAATGCTAATTATCTTATGCCTCTTTCATCTCTGCACTGCTTTGCCTCCTAATTGTTTAAAGTGTTCTGTAAATAATATAAACTTCTCAGATGCTTCTGAAGACCGCCTTTTCCTTCCCTTCATCCCAGACGTACCTACATGATTGAAGACAAGGCTTTAAAAACTTATTCCTATCATTAATCAATTCTTTATGCATCCCAATGTTCCCAAAATTGAAAACTAAGACTAGCATCATATCAAAGTAAGAAAGTTCGTACCTCTATTTTCTGTGCACATTTCTTCAAATATGTTTCAAATATGATTTGTTTGGAATCTTAGGTTAATGGACTGTCTCTTTAAATATATATTAATTCTTGTGATGTTCCTGGTCTGTGATAGTGATGGTTCTGCCCTCTGCTGTTGATGTGAAGATCCTGGTCTCGTATTTCTGAGCGTGTGCGAATAGGTTTTACAAATCTAAAGGGTGGGAGCTGAGGTATGTTGTCTTTTTATTGCTGAACAATCTGTGGTATTTTGAAACATTTCAGTGCAATGTTCTCTTCACACATAACTGTTGCATGTTGTGTAGGGTAGCGTTTAGAGCAAGTCGTGCACTCATACCTGTAAATAAGCAACAAAATCATCCAAAAGATATCTAATCAACATTCACCCTTCATGTCCCTACATATATGATATAGAAGACAGTATTAAAAATATTACCTAAAGATTTGCAGTCCGATATAAAATTTACTTGGATAAATAAAACTTGCAATTTGCAATCAGACACTGCGTTGTTTAAAGATTTTTCTGACAACTGATATTCATTTTTTTTTATAGATTGGAGAAAAGGTGATTGTTATAGAAAGTTGTAGTCAGTCACTCAAGATGCAGTTTGATCATATGATAATTGCGAGGTACAAGTAAGCTTACTTATAAGGGAAACATGATTATTTATGAAATATTCTATTTTTTCTTGATAACGATCTTATATTTATAGTAGTAAAATGGGTAACGAAACTGCTCAGACAACTATAAAACCAATCTTTATTTCAATGACACTCAAGTACTAAAATGACATTGTCCAAATAATATCCATCGCGCAGTTTCCTTGGACAGCTCTTTGCTGCGTTGAATCGTGTTGGAGGAGGGAAACATGTTTTCTTCAGGATATTGTTCAGGAGGTCCATAGAAAAGTATGCTTGTTAATTTTGTAGTAAAGTAGTTGAGAAAAACTTAGCACATAATTGTTCTTTAAAACACTGGTTCATATTTTATTTAAAACGTCTTGTGCGACTCTGGCCATATAATTTTTGTTTCACTAACCTGGAAATATGAGTTCCATGCCCTCAGCCTCTGAACTTCAAGATTCCTCGTGGGATTATATTGGTTTTTATATTCATTGCCATAAGTTATTTCCTTTATCAGAATATTTGATCATTTGTGTAAATATATACAATTTCATTTTCATAATAAATACTAAGAAGTATGAAAATTCTAAGACGATCGACGTTATTGCCGAAAATAACTCTGAATGGCAACTCAAGCGATGGCACCCATGAAGTTCATGACGGACACGTGACAAAACAGTACATGATTGGTGGGATTAACTTGTCCCTTCTGTGCATGTGCAAGATTTAAAAATGAGCTTAATATTAAAGCCTGGTCTAGAGGTACATTAAAAGTTGATCCTGGACGCTGCCAAAGCGCATGCGCACAAGAGATCTGGATTAACCTTTAATACCGGATTAACTTTTATGGCACGTAGAGAAGACGTCCTTTGATAGTATAGCATTTAAATGAGTAGAGGGAGAGGGTAGATGGGGTCAAGGTCTTGGATGGGGTAAGATAGGTATTGGTGAAAAGAGGAAGGGTTAAGGACAATGGATGGTTAAATCGAATGAAGGATATTTATATGTCTGAGGAAGGAGAATAAATTGTCAATAGAAAAGGTGGGGGATTCTGTAAGGGTGTCTGGCAGGTTGGGGGATAGGGGAAGAAGGGATATGTAAGGGAAAGTAAGGGTACGGGCTTCGGTAAAGCGAGGGCAGGATATTAGGAAATGTGGAACAGAGATAAGGACATTGCATGTAGTGCCTAAAGGTAGGTTAGAGAAATGTGAGATGGTGTGAGCCAGTGATTTTGGTGTGGCCTATTCGTAGGCGGGGCAGGGCAGTTTCCCAACGTCTGTTTTGATGGTATGGAACTGACCAAGGGGAGATAGAGGGTTTTATTGTTTGGAGTTTGTTGGTGTACAGACCTGACCAAAAAGACTGCCATCGGTTATAAAGGAAAGTTTTGGAATGGGGGTAGTAGTCAGTGGCTGGGATGCAGATCGTGCCAAGTTATCTGCTTTTTCGTTCGTTGCCGGGAAGCCTTGCTTTCTGTCGTGTAGACACAGAATAGCTGATCGTGTATCTTATGGCCTATGGGGTTGATAGGGTTTATGGATTGTATGAGTGATATTGAGTTACGCGAGTCAGTGAAGATGGTGAAGGATAAGGAAGAGATGGAAGAAATGCGTTGAAGAGGAAAGAGGATAGCATATAGTTCTGTTGTAAGGACACTTGATTCTGGTGGAAGAGGAAAGCTGTATGTCTGAGAGGGAGACTACGGCAAAGCTATTTGATGAAGGGGCAAGCCTCATTGCCTCTAATATGGGTATTACTTTATTACTGGCTATGGGAAGCCTTGATTATGTAGGGGAAATAAACAGTCCACCCCCACCCCCCCACAGTGCCTTTTAAGGGGGTAAGGGCTAGACAACTACATCTGGGGAATACCGTGCCCATGGTTCCCGCAGGCCGTTCAGGACTGGCACAAGGTCAGCCTTTCATTCTTTCAGCACGGCTCTTACACCTTAGGAAGTAGATAGAAGGGGTTGGAGAAGGGACGGAAACAAAAAGCTGGAGGGGGAAAAGACCATGCAAAATTACTTGAGTCGAGGGCTGAGGCCCTAGGCAGGGGAGATCCCTGCATTGGGTCTCAGTCTCCATCTCCTAAGCCCCCCACAACAACAATGGGCAAAGAATTCATAATTTTAGAAAATACCACACAACATTAACAATTCCCCAAAGGTATTAATAAAGACAAACTCTGGATAATAGATTTATTTTCTGACATTCCTTTGGCCAGTCTGTCAGGCTCAACATACCTTCCATTAGATTAATAAACTGTTAAGATTCTGTATAAAAGTTTAGATAAATATCAACAGCTGCCTAATTAATAGTATGAAGTTAAATCATATTAATAAAGTCATTTACCTAAAGGCAGAACAAAATGAAAAATGTTAATGCTAATTGGAAATAAACATTCATTGAAGCAAAATTTCCTAGGAAGATGATACAAGGCACATTTTTGACATCATAAAAATACCCATCTCAAAATTTACCGTTAACAACAATGAAATAATATGACAGATGATAAACACTACTAAACACACATTTTATAGTGTGGCCTCTAAAACTAAATTAATATATTTTTTCCCTTTCAAGTAGAAAACCATGTATGAATATTTATAACAATGATAATACAAGATGCTTTTGGCAGAGAAGACATCACATACCATAATGTACCCCTGAAACTGGGCAATATAAAAAACGGGGAAAGTACCAATAGTGAGACTAATTGCTGTTCCTTATTATTATTCTTTATGTTCCTAATTAATATTTTTATGACCATGATTATTATTACTTTACTATTATCAGCATTATTATTATCATATATTCTTATTACCCTCATTTTAATGCTAATTATTATCAATAGAATAATAATCATCTTTACCTTGTTTATTGTAATGATGATGATTGTGACACTTACAATAGAATAAAGTGGTTTACTAAAAATACCAGCTATATCAGTAATACTACAAGTAATATTAATAGTAGCTGTAGTGATGATGACAACAGTAACAATTATGATGATGATATGATGGATGCTGATGACAATTAATATAAATGAAGAGACCAATAAAATTTTGAATAATAATAATAATGATGATGATAATAATATTCTTACTCAAATCACTAACATCATAATAATGATAATATAATAATGGTAATAATAATCACATTATAATAATAATAATAACAAAGAGCAAACTCAAATAATACAATAAGTACATTTTAAAATCCCAATTTTAAACATTTGTGCTGAATACCTAAAGACATACCTAAATATGAAACTACTTATATATTGCCCACCTAACCAACAGGGTGCAGTTACACAAATCAAAGTGCTGGCTGAAAAGGAAAAAAATCCTTTGCTGAAACTCGCATCATAAATGCAAATAGCAATATTTTCAGTTTCATTATCAGCCAGAGAGGCTTTGCAGTGAAATTTGTCTAAATCTTCCATATCAATATTATTTTAGCATTAACTGACACCACAAAAAGTTATAGATTGCATTTTTTTTTCTTTTTTCTTTTTTGGTTAAATGGCATACTTTGTTGCTCAAACAATGAATACTTTTGACATTATTCTTGCCATTTTTTCCCCAACTCTCCACATTAATCTTATGACCAAACGGTAAATCAAGTCTGTAAAAGAAGTCATGTTAAATTATACTAAACACAATATTTAAACCACCCTATAAAAATTACAATGAAGTAATTTGTTGAAACAAATATACACTATAATAATACATGAATGAATAAATAAAAAAACTACAACTACCATAACTACTTTAAAGTTGATTATAGAAAATGAGGGCTGGCAATGTTAGAAAACATTATAAAAATGCCTTGTGACTTCAACATAGCCAAAATGCCATACACAATAACCACAATCGATATCAGTGATGTTTCATTAACAGATCGATTGTGCAACCAAATTTAAAAGGTGCATTGTAAACATATACAAGTTGTTGCCAATGGAAGCAGGGACAATACAGATGACAGGTGCTGAATCAAAAGAGCAAGACGTATGAATGGCATTTACACAGTTCTTGCAGATCCAAGTGTGTTGCCTGAAGGAATGGCAAATGACAAAAAAAAGGGATACTGAAGTGCACTAACTGAAAGAATTGAAAAAAATTTCTGCTAGCAGCAATACCTAGGAGGTAAACTGTAAATGCCTATCATTCTAAGCAGTGATAACCAGAAAAGGAAGTGTCTCAACATAATGCATGTACACTTTTGTGGGTATGGAAATACAAGTACCTTGACAAGAATTATTTGTGTAAGTACTAATGCAAACAAAAGACACAAACTAAAGGTGGTGACAAATAAAAAGAAAACAGTATAAAAAAGGAAATGACTTGAATGATAAGGTCCAGATTAAGACTACAGTGACAAATTTGGACATTTCTATTATCTTTTTTGCAGCTTTCTAAGTCTTTGACACATGTGCATCATTGATAGTCATTACTTTCAATGTGTATGCAAAACTTCTGAGCTTGGATGCTGCTCTTGAAGAATTTCAACCAATAAGCAGATGCAATTCCAAATAACCTAAATATAACACCTAGTAACCTGTGAGCTGTACTCATGTATAAAAGCTGGAAAACTCTTAACTATGTATAGAATGGAACTTCCTTCAATGATGATTACTTGTTGAAAAGGCATGCAATGTCTATATTTGCTAGAATTTAAAAATATTTTGGTTTTCATTGCAGTTCTATGCATACTCAGCAGCTAGTATAATTAAATAACAGTCCAGTTGCACAAAAAGATAAATGTTTTCTTAAAACTAGGTAACATCCTGATACTTTACATCTGAAACCCTCCTGTATATCCATGCAGACAAGTTTTTTTTAAACTGGGGGTACTACTTGTCCTAAATAGAGCACATAATTAAACATATAAAAAAAATCAGGTTCCCTATGTATAATCCCTCAAACTAAAAACAAATTCAGGTACACTCAGCCAACAAGCATTTGTGTAAAAATCAAGTACCAAAAAGAAATTGTACCTTATCTACTTATGAAGTTATAATTTTATAAAATTAAGAGAAATATCTGCTACAACAACAGCTAAGGTTATTAGCAGTTTCAGGGTTATTCTTTTGCATTAGCAAATTTCTTTTTATAATGATTTCAGTGCTATACACCTACTACATCTTAATAGCCCAATGCATCACAATCATCAAAAGAACCATTTCAAGCTTGATCTTTATAACAAAGATAGATTTGTCCATGTTCCTCCTGGACCCATCACCTAATTAGTACACAATCTCATCTTCAGTTACATTATCTTGCAAGATTTGTCAGTTAGTTTTAAAGCCATTAAAGCAGAAGTTATATCATGTCTTTAATATCACCATTCCATTTCATCAACTGCGATGGAATCAATTTTCAAAAGTTCTTTATATATATATAAATATATCTTTTGCTAACAAGACTTAACACTGGGAGCCCCACAATACCCTCCCTCTACTTGTCTTCTGGGATGAATATCTCCACAGTATCTCCATCACTTGCTTTCTTTGCTTCAGCCTCTGCCTTTTTAGCTTTCATGGCTTCCTTCATGGCTCTTCTTCTCTCCTCCATCATCTTTTTCCTTGCTTCATCTCTGGCTTTTCCCTCTTCTGTTTTTGCACCACTTTTAGTAGACTTGGCTGCTCTTGCTGGTCTTGGAGCAGGCTTCTTTTGTGCCTGGCCTGTCATAACATTCTTACCAGATCCATCCACAGTGTCTGCCCATGACAACTGTAAACAAAAATATATAAATGAGAAATTATGACTATCAATATATATATATATATATATATATATATATATATATATATATATATATAATACACATCATCATGAAATCAAATTTATCTCAAGCCTTGATTATACCCATTTCCCACACAGGATGGCATCTATGTATATGGCATGCCCACTTTGAGTTTAGTGTATGAATTGTATTTTTATATAGATTGTCCAAAAAGTACATAGTCACCAAGGAGTCAGTCACTAGTCCTATATTTCCCTTGATTTAATTAAACATTTTCATTCATTCTATACTGCCATTAGTACTATTGATAACACTCTCATAATCAATGTCAATAATAATATCATCATTATTATTAACATCATTAGAAAAAAATCCAGGAAAGGGGAAATCAAGTGAGGTTACATTGGCTACTAACTGAGGTCTTGTAGGCTGAGCACTTGTGGTGCAACCCATGTGTAGCTACAATCCCCAAGTACATGTTCCTAGGAGCATTATCAAAGGTTACATCATCAGATGTGCAAGTACAAGCAAAGCCAATAAAAATGCGAAGAATCCTCAATATACAAAACAAGGTGAGAACTTACCTCCTTCCACCCATTAGCCTTTAATTTAGCTATCTCTTGGAGGGAGTTCTTGATGTCATCAACCTGAATTGACACCATGTCCCAGAAGCCTGCCAAGTCTTCACTGGTAGTTGGAAATTCTTCTCCTTCTGAACCAGCCTACACAGAGAAAGAGAAAAAAACATATTTACAAACTAAACAAAAGAAGAGGAAAAGGTGAGGGTGGATGAAAATGAGGGGGAGGAGGAAGAGGAGAAAGAAGATGGGGTGGGGGAGAATGTGGGGAAAGGGGAGGAAAAAGGGGGATGAAAACTAGGATGAGTTTGGAAAAGCTATGAAGAATATAGAGTTCCTTATGCTGATTTACATGTCTTTCAGACAGTTTATACTAAATGAACTTCAATTACTAGCCATAAAATTGTACCATGAGAAAAGAAAGGCATACTATGCAAAACATTAAACTTCTACGGTAAGGAAAAGAAGACCAACAAGTTGCTAGTCAGTGGCAAGACTTTAGCAAATCATTAAATGATGCTCTGAGTAACAGAGAAAAATCAATGTTCATGTTCTTGCCTATAACAATCATACATAATCTAATGACAAAAAATCTACTGATCATAATATAAAAATGCTATAACTTACAATATTTTTGTGACACAGCCCTCTGAACTGCTGAATTTTCTGAGAGACTAAGAGTCGAGCTTTACCAATAGCTGCTAGCACCTTTCCACGAATCTCTTCTGTCATCTCCGACCCATGCAGTTCTAACTCTTGTTCAGTATTTAGAACTTCAGCTTCAATACTGCTGACAACCTCCTCTACTACCTGAAAAATTAATATCAATATTATAGCTCATAAAACAACTATTTACTGTCAATGAGTGCAGTTAATGAGGACTTACTTAGAGGGAACCATTGCAAATTTTAAGCCATTGGCACTATTGCAGTGTTTTGTGAATCTTGCTTTCACACAGACAGATAGCTCCATAAACACTTTAGTCATCTAATTGTCCATCAATAAACCTACCAAACCCTACTTTGATTTTTTGTAATCAATATAGTCTAGTTACTGTTATCATGATCATTGTTGACAAAGCAATTTATTATTATTATGATACCAATAACAATACAAAAAGTATACAATTCCTCAAAAAATCATGGAAAACAGTAAACAGAAGAGATGAGATACGATTGGTAATAAACTCTTATGAAGCCATTTATACATACATACATACATACATGTATAAAATAAAATGACAGTGGACATGTCATCAATCTGGGGACATTTGATCTAACTTACATGATCATCAAATCATGAAAAAGTCTGGCTTGAGGGGCAGATGACATGAACATGATGTCATGAGTAAAAATGCCCACGAGACAGGTGATGCAAACTTGCTGTAAGAGCAAAGGCAAGGGTGATGGTCAAGACTCGCCAACGAAGTGCACACACATCTCCTTGGAGGGTGATCAGAACTTTAATTATCTTCGAGGCGTTTAGTCATAAGAAAGGAGGCTTTTGCATTAAGTTACTGTAGGATCAAAAACCAACAGCACTCAAAATAGGAATATATAGAAAAGTAATACAACCCGCAATAACCAAGAAAACTAAACGGATCGACCACTACCAACGCTCGCCATGGGTAGAATGGAAAACAAACGATCAGTGAACAAAACAGTAATATCAGACTATTTAAATCAGTGGTGTAAATTTTCTACCAATGCACCGTGTGCGCAGCACAAGAATTGTATTTCCTAAAATTTAATGATTATGAGAAATAAAAATTATTGCAATGACACAAATAACAATGCGCCATTCACCATTTGTTTACTGACATAGCACGGATAACGTATATAGAAGCAGTGAATTGAGCAAACAGAAAATAGCAACATTATTTTACGCAATGCAACTGCCGTATGACAAAGCAAAACTCTAAAGGAGAGAATACAGTTATCCATGAAAACCAGCCATTACTAATGGACATCAAAAATTCAGGAAAACTGGCCGAACGAGAAAAGCTAAAAATATGTGTATATATTACCCCAAAGATAATAGGCCATGTTTTAGGACACATAGGTGATTGTGGAGAGTCCAATCGAATTGTTATGGTCACCACAAGTGTTTGCTGTGTGCTGCTTACTTAAAGATAGACTAATTTAATGGTGATACTTTGTGTCACTGGGCGCACGTTACTGGGTCACAGTGCCGTTACAATATGATACGAGGCGCTCTGCCCACTTTTTAGTTTAACGTAAGCCTCTACTAATTTCAGCCATTAGATACCATGTTCACTTTCAATGCATCTATTCTTTCCGTTCATTGTCAAACAAAAAGCTTTATAGGGGTTTTGTTATTGCAGAATGTAAGATAATTTTCCCATCATTTGCATGTTAGACTCAAGGTCATAAATAACAAAATCCCAGAACACAGAGTATTATTAATAGGGGTTAAAAGCAAAAAATCCAATGTTCCCTAAAAATTTTAATAATAGTGAAGCATTAATAAACGAGTACCAACCCAATCTAATATGCTTGTGGTGGCTCGAGAAATACAGATGAGCGAAACTAGGAACAGAATACAGAGCGCCATTCCGCGAATAAAACACAACAACACCCTTCATCCAACACAATGCTGGGCACTATGGTATAACTCATCTACCATCACCCATATTTATCTCTACACTTGAATTCTTAGTAGACATGTACAATCATTCTCGGTGAGATGTAAAAAGTATCTTTCTTTTCGAGCTGAAATTATATACCTCTCTGGGCTTGGCAGTACAAACATCGGAACAAGTAGCAATTTGTTCCCAAATTATTACATTCTGTGAATGTACTTCCACAACTTTGTGATCATATTCATATCCTAGAACACCAAGTTTAACCAGACTACATTTCCTGGGGATTCTACATCATACGTGAGCATTCTGATATTTCACTACCGACTGATAGTCTTAAACAATTAGTGCTGTGCTTCTTAGGGATAATTCCATCATCCTACCAGGAGCGGCAAGCTCTGCCTCTGTTCGCTTGGTCAAAAACATTACTACATACTGCTGAGTAGCCTAATGTGCTTAAATTCTACCATTTAGATATCTTATATACTCTGGTTAGAATTGGCATACTGTCGAGAGCTTCCTGTTGAGTTCCAATCTTCGTCTTAGATGAGACGTTTTATGTGAATATATTTATCATTTATACTCTCATTATTCACTGACTCTTTTATTAACACTGCTGGTTAGGGGACTAACACCAAGAGACACCACACACAGCTATTGACAATAGGGGCCTGGAAAAACTCTCTCTCTCTCTCCTCTCCTGTGTTTTCACATTTACCATTAAACACACGCGACTCTATGTAGCGAGTTAGTTGTGTGTGTGGTTAGTACGCTATGTCTACACGAGGTGTGTGTTGTTGTCAGCTAGTCGATCGATCGTGAGCATGTCCGCACTGAGCTGTAGTCGAACCAGCGCACTAGTCACACAGCGATGTGTGTCGATCAGTGTCGACTAGTCGTAGGTGGCACACGACGCACAGCACACACAAGCACACTCTACGTCATGTGTGTGTGTGGTGCGCGTGCTCGTCAGTAAGTAAAAGCATCGCGTGAACACACGCTCAGTGAATAAACATTTGGCACACACAGCGTGGCTGATAGAACAACGCATCAAAGATACACAGGACTAGGTCAAAAAGACACAGCAAAGAACATGATCAGCATTGTGGGCTAATAAAACAGACACGAATGAATAGCGAGACACATGTAAGTCACAAAATACGACATTAAAAACTATCACGTTTCATTACACAAACGATATTTGTCTAAAAAAACCAACACACACAAAATAAAACTCGGATTACATTCCAACGAGAAAAAATAATAGAAAACAACCATTTGCATAAAAACAACAAAAAGATGACACACTACTCAATGCAAAAACACACAACATTTTCACACAAAAAACACACACACATTGCCAAAAACACACAAAAACAACACACACATTGGCAGGGGAAAACACACAAAAACACACACACATGCAAAAACAAAATACAACATAAAAAACACACACACACACACAAGCAACATATAAACACACACTAACACACATAAAAACACACACATGCAAAAACATATAAAAACACACATACACATGCAAAAACAACACATAACACATTAAAATAAATAACATACACGGACACAAAAATATACATAAAAAACACATAAAAACACAAAAAAACACTCTCACTCTCACTTACCCATTCAAAATAAACCTTTATATAAATATATATATGCTTTTATATGCAAAGCTATACAGAAGCACAAAGATGGGTTGTATCAATCTGAAACTTTACCAGCTACACATTTTACAACTGAGTAAAATGCAAAATTCCTATGAGAAATTCAAAGATGAGAATTCAACCATAATACTTTTAAACTTTCTTTACTTTTCTTTCACAAGATTACCTTACCTTCAAGAAGTAATGGCCATCTTTTTCCAATTTTGCAGGACTGCTCGATGTTTTAATCACTTCACATGGTTCCGCAACACCATTCACTTTGTTAGTTCTTTTCACTAAGTCATCTTCTTTAACACTATCGGTTTCTTTAACTGCACTACCATTTACACAAGGGCCATTGCTCAACTGAGGCTTTGTTTTTTCTGTATCACCATTCTCCAAAATCTTCGGTTCCACTTTCTGTGTGTCTTTATTAGAGGTGTGACTAGCATCCTTTCTTGTTAAAGTATCCGTTTGTGGTAATGGGACTGGTGGAATTGGTTCTTCACCTTCTATAGTGATAGGAATTACTCTTCCAGGTCTGTTACTAAGGGATTCAATCTTTAGTGATGTATTTATACTTGGTATTTCTAAGGAAGTATCCAGTCTCAGTCTGCTATTTCGTTTCACTGGCAACTGAGTTCTAAACTCTGGCCGTAAATGTCTAAATACACTAGGAAAACCATCTGGTGCTTTATCCTCTGGTTCAAAGTTATTCTCTGAATGGGAAGTTAACACCATATTCTTAAGTCCACCACCAGATTGTGTTGTCTTTCTTTTTCCAATTCCAACAAAGACCTTCGACTACGGAAACCAGCTGCTAGGGCACTTGGTCCATAGAGTCGTTCAATTCTTGACTGGATAAATGATTTGGTACTGTGGGCATCCCCGTTTGTATGAGAGCAGTGTATACTATCACTTGATTCACATACTCCACCTCTTACAACAGACTTCTCAAAAGAATACTGATAGCTTGATGATTTTATTGAATTTGAATCATCCATACTGATCTCAACCAGGCGGACATGAGGTCCGTCGGTGGATGTGTTGCCCTGATTGCTCATCGTTTCAGAATCTGCTTTAGTAAGGTAACCTCGATCAACGCTGACACTCAAGCATGACGTGTGTTGTGAGGGGCGCCTGCCAAGCCTCTTTTGAATGACGTATGGCCGACCTCGGTGTCAGTTGGTGGGTGGGGAAATTCTGCCTTGAACCGAGCAAGCTCTTCTTTTAACTCTTTAATTTTTGCTGCAGTAGCCTGAGGAGAAATCTGAGGAGAGAAACGTGAATAAATAAGTAAATGCGGGGAATAGGCAGTAAGCATATGAGTAAAGAAAAGAAGAGTTATATATACATTTATAACAATATATATACTATAAACATTTTTTTTTTACTTAACATGTATTCTTAATGCTGTGCAAGTTCTTTTTAGGATCTAGAACTTTTAACTTAGAACAATAAAATGTTCAAAATTAAGCTTGTACTATTTATGAAATTTTAGACCATTCTACCTACATATATAGCCTAGTAAAATATAAAAAGGCTTTGGGGTAACAACTGGTCATTTTTGTATACGACTGAACACTTTCCCTCTGTTCATTTTCATAAGAAACATAAATTAATAGGAAGGAAAGGTATATACATCATCCTACACATACAACGAGAAAGTTTAACTTTTACCTTTGTCCGAGAATCAAAGAGCTTCCATTCAGGGCGCATAGGACTAGAATCTCTACTAGACTGACTAGACTTGACAGTCTGCAGGGCCATAGAGTAACGCCATATCACGAAGAGTTGAATCATACCTGGAAGATTGAGTAAATTATCTAAATTTATATTACCCATTCATTATTCTTATCATAACTCTGGTTAAACTTCATATAGCTTTGTTGAGCTAAAATATATATGTATTCTTATCTACTGAAGGAAAAAGATCATGGAAAAATACCAATACTAACTATAGAGAGAAAAAAAAAGTAAAAAATAATGTAGAGTCTCCACAATCAGAAACAACTAGGATATATCTTAAAATGTCAATAATATATATTTTGCTTTCATGTGGACAATCCAGTGCTAATTGCCTTTCATCAATCATTCCTAATTTATAATTTTGTGAGGGGTTTCACAATATTTACAAGTAGAGGGTAAAGTGATAATATAATTCATTGCAAGATAATAAGCACCATTGCACACAGTAATGGTATTACTACAGAACCTATATATTGGCATGGGTACATAAGTTCCTTATTCAATAAAATGAAAGTCCTGACTAGATTTTAGCTAGTATAACAAGATTTTAAAAATCCATAAGCAATCTAGAGAAACTGAAAAGGCATTTGATATAATTGTATTTATATTAGTTTTTTTTTAGCTTGTGTGAATTTAGATTTAGTTAACCTAGTGCCACTGGGAACATGTAACGTTCACCATTGTATTTTGTAAAATGCATTCGTACATAGCTTCTCAAGTGCAAAGCCACTAAGCAGCCCAAAAATAGACCTAAATGCCTTCCCACCCCACTATTTTTTCACCTTTTGCCCTTTAGGTTTTGAAATCGTTACATTATGTACGTCGATATTTATAGTGAATCTGTTATCAGACAAATATTAGATTTAACTGAAGTGTATTTTTTAAAAACCATGAATACGCAATAGAATAGAATTAAGAAATAAAGAATAGTATCTCAAGATAGATCTACGTAAAAAAAAAAAAAAGTGTGGATGTAAGGTGATAGAGCACTAGATGAGAAGCAAGAAATGCGGAATCTTAAGTAAGATATAGATAGGATATCAGATCTGTGTTTGATTCAGATATGAACTTGCAGTAACCTATGATATAAATTGGAGTAAATACTAAATCAGTAGGTAACTTAAAAGTACCAATCAGTGGGCCACTGCATTAGATAGAAAGTTGTAAAATTATAACCATTCATAGTTGTCACCATCATATGTGCATCACACTCAATTTGATCATTAAAATCAACGTACATACTTATATAACAGCATAAAGAGCGAGAGAGGATAAACAATATTGTATTATTACGAGCAATATCTATTTATAAAAGAACAAGACTATTATAAACTGTTTAACAACACTTAATGTGAATAGAGGACAATTGAATATTGTTTATGAACAATCAGCTTCTTAGGTATGGATGGGGGGTTGGTGATTCCTGAGCCAAAATTTATAATAGTCCAAAGTGGTAACTATTGAGTGTTGGGATCATTGTGCGTCAAGAATATGTTTTAGTGGAGTATGCATAGTTTGCAGAAAAATGGCACATAACTTATATAAAACCTGTCCCTAAACAATTTTATACGGCATCATGCACAAAACCACTTATTCAACAATAAACAAAGACAAAGACAAGAGCAAGCAAATTATAACGAAACAAGGCGAATCCTCCAACACACACGACATATTAGTCGATAATAACCATTACAGCACAGGATAGTACCCAAGTATGACAGAGGACAGCACATCATTTGCAGCTAATTATACCACATCTGAAAAATCGCCACCTAGTGTCTGCCTGGTCAGTCGGTAGCTACACAACATCTAACACGAATCCAGCACTAAACACACACACACCGACCTACGAGCGATCACACTATCAACAATTGGCCTAACTGGGGTTGTGACTTTTATATCTATCATGCATGTCTGTAACAATGAACAAAAATTCACTATCTAGTTACAACCACTACTACCAACACAAACACAATATTACCAAAAAAATAGTCAGTAATTTTTCAATGTAGTATGGTCTACACATATACTAATAACACACATACTAACATACGTATATATAACTACACACCACCTAACTACACACTCACTAAAACACACACTACATACAGTATCATTATAATACACAATATTACATATACTCTAAACCATATGTTATAGCCATACATTACACAACACACACAACACACACACATGTATACACAACCACACATATAGCACACTAACTACATCAACACACATCATTCTGCAATTCTGTCTCAAACTAATAATGTACTTTGCATATATTTAGCTAGTGAGTCATGGTATGCTTTAAATATGTTTATTTAAATTAATTCAAGGTTATGTATATCAGAGGTGCATTGATGTGCATTGTTGTGTGTGTGTGTGTGGTGTGTGTGTGTGTGTGTGTGGTGTGTAGTGTATGGGTGTTAGTGTGTGTGTGTGTGTGTTGTGTGTGTGTTGTGTTGATTGATTATTTGAGTGGTGTTTGTGTGTATGTGTGTTATTGTGTGTGTGTCAAATGTTTGCGTGTGCGTTAGCAAAATGTTTCCGTGAGCGCGCATGTGTGTGTGTGCTAGTATTATGTTTATGTTATTATAAGAGATATGTAATCAGATTATATTTTATCGATATGTATGTAATGATTATATTTGAATAATTGATATTAATGTTATATATGTGTGTGTGTGATGTGTTTGAGTGCATGTTTGTGTTTAGTGCGTGTTGTGTGTGTGTGCCGTGTATATTTGTGTGTAGTGTGCTGTGATTGTGTGTGTGTGTGTAGTTATGTGTGTGTGTGTATGGTGTGTGTGCATATGATAGGGTGTGTGTGTGATTGTAGTGATGTGTTAGTGTGTGTGTGTGTGCAATGTCATGTATAATGAGTATGGTGCATCAGTAATATCTGATGTAGTATGTGTTGATATGGTGTATATTGTGTGTGTGTGGTCAGTTGATGCTGATGGTTAGGATGTAGTGTGTGATGTGTGTGTGTGTTGGATGTATGTGTCGTAATAACGGTTAGTATTTTACCAAAATGATGAATTAGTGTTGTGTGATAACATTAGTGGTATTTAATGTGTATGTGTGCAATATATATATACATTGTGTGCCATTAGTGCATAATACATGTATGTTGTCTATGTATGTTGACATGTGCACATCGATTATGTATGTTATGCAAGTATGTACATGATGATGTAGTCGTATGTTATATGATGCCAAATTATATAGCATGTTATGCGTTGTACATGTTGATTAACGTGTTAGTGTGTGCATGTAGATACGTGTGTGCGTTGATGTACATGTGATGTGTGTGTTATGTATGTGTGTTGATGAGTATTGAGTGTGATGTGTGTGTGTGGTGTTGTGTGTGTTGATTAATGTTGTGTGTGTGTGTGTAGTGGTTGATTAGTGTGGTATTAATGTTTGAGTGTGTAGTGAGTGTTGTATGAGTGTGTGACTGTGATGATGTATGTGATGTATGTGTGTGTTGAGATAGTAAGCATCGAGTGTGTGTTGTGTTGTGTGTGTGTGTGTGTGTGTGTGAGTACATACAGTCAGTCATATGTGTGTGTGGTGTGTGTGTGTTGGTGTTGTGTGTGATGAGTGTGTAAAATAATTGTTGCAACTGAAGAGTGTTGCATGTGCCGTGTGATGTTTGTGCCACACATGTTGCGCTACCGGTGTGGTGTGAAAATGATTGTAAACATTGTGTGCAATGTGATGTGGGCACATGTATGCTGAGCAAACTAGAGTCACAGCGACTACACACAGCGTACATAGACTACGACTACAGCGAAGTAACATTAGTATGCTAAGTAAAAGTGTTATAATATTGTAGTAACCATTATATATAGTGTATTATGTGTGAGTGTGAGTATGTGTGTTTTAATGTGTGGCATGTTAGGTGTTAGTAGTGTGTATAAGTATGTTTATTGTAGTGCACAATTACATGATATGTGTATGTTGATTTGTGTGCAATAGGCTGTGTAGTTCTAGTGATTGCAATTAGTGTGTGTTTAGTGTGCATGTGTGTAGTGTATATTGTGTGTACAATGTGTGTGTGATTATTTATATGTATCGTGTACAAATAGTGTGAGTGTTTGTGTGTACATGGCACAATGTGTTGCATGTTGTGTGTTATGTGTGCATATGTGTTTGTGGTGCATTAGTATGTGTGTTGTTGTTGTGTCAATATGTCAGTCTTATCATGTGATTCATATAATGTGTTATGTGTGTCAATAATGTGTGTTGTAGTACTATAATTAATATTAGTGTGGTATTTAGTGAGTAGCTCATCAATTATGTTTTAGTTTCACTAGTAGGCAATATGGTGTCACGACACACTTAGTGTGGCATATGTGTGTTTGTGGTGATATGTGTGGTTTGGTGCACACACATCATGATCGATGCACACATCAGCATGACTAGCACATCACACAAACACTGATCGATCTGTATTTGTGCTATGCACAATACGGTTTGTTTTTGTGTGCATGTGTGTTTGTGCGCAT